ATATTTCAAGTTTTACGCATGATATCGATAGCATTAAGTATCACTACTTATAATATTATTCTGAATCTTATTTTGAGAACGAATGAAAGATCTAAGGCTGCATTCGGGCAGCGCGCTATTAGAGCCATTTGTGTGGTACGTCCTTGTCTCATGTCTAATGGACGACGAAGATAAAATGAAACAAATAGCGCTAATAGCGTCTCCGCGAATCTAGCCCTAGTCTATCAGAATAAGATTCAGGAATCAAAACACAGAATAAAGGACATTAACCAACATTTACTTCGATTTATAATGCTTTGATACTTTAATACTCCGCAACTTCGAAACTGTTCAACATCGGATATATATTCATTAGATATTTTCGACTTGTTTTCATATCTTAAAGCCGCTGTACAGTTTCAATACTGTATATATAAATCACATAAATTACTCGAATCTAATCTGTGAAAAAAATTTGTACATTTTATCCCAAATATAAGTTTCGGTTGTGAATTAACTTTTATCTTTGCTAAATTGATCATATCATTTTCATTCTTCTTATAATTCACTGTTTTAAGATTATTATTTTACGTAAATAGCGACATGTTTTTTTAGGATTTGAGGTAGACAGAGAAAGCTCAAAGAGCTTGATATGAGTATGATTTTATTAAGATTTGTCTTACGCGTTGATTTGAAAAGCAAAAATGTACAAATTAACTTAAGGGACAAGATTGCTGGAACTCAAGATAGTGTAAGGATTTCTTCATGGATGTACATTTTTCATCCTGCTTCGTTATTATACTTTCGCGTTTGATGCACTTTCAAGAGTTTATATATCAAGCTGAATAAAAATATCCATTGATATACATGTTATATCGTGAGGTTTTGAAAATATATATGCATCTCGTAATTGAGAGACAAGGCTTTCTTGCAATATAAACATACATAACACTTGTTTTCTCACAGGACGTTCGTAATATCGACGTATTATTGACGACGATAACGAGAAAAAATAAAGCTAAAGAAGATATATTCCTCCCGTCGCGATTACAACGTAAATTGAAGGTACTTCAATGTCGGATATAACTCGTTATCGATTCTAAGAGTCACTCTCAATAGCAACATTCGACAATAAATATTTGTAATAAGTACGATCAGAACTGCTCCCAAATTCGTAACCATTTTAGAAAGATTCACATATATTAAGAATTACTTTTAAGAATGAAAAAATGTTAAATAAATATATAATATGTGCATTTGGTGCATACTGAAGAATTTTACTCAGAATATTAATAATCCCCATACAGTTCTTATATAAAAAGAATTTTTCTCGAACTCTTCAGATAAATAAGAATTTTGACGTTATCTGTTAATAAACTGAGTGCAATTCGCTACAAAAATTCCTCACTTACTCGCGTTCACTTTTCGCTTGTAAATAAAGAATCGCGATTTATATTATAGACCGCGGACAAAATACGCTAGTACATATTAATATTGACTATACATTTATATGCATGTTATAACTTATTGTTAGCTGTAAATTAACATAAATATAACAAAGATGAAAAATAACGTACTATTACGCTCACTGCTTCTGATGGTGACCATTCGATCACAAATTAGCATTCTCATATGTAGATATATAAATATATATAGTTTGAAAATAATGGATTACTTGTAATATTGTGATCTCTCTCATTACAATTTTTTCAATAACAAACGATAATGTTACATTTTTTAAAAATTTAAAGAAATTTAAAGAGTTTGATAATATAACGATTAATAATATATATATATATATATATATATATATAAAGAGGAAAGTCGCCTATATCGTAATCCTTAAGAGAGATTAAACAAAAATTTTAACAAACGTACTGAAGAGACCAAAATAGCAATGTTACTACTAGCATCACAGTTGTGTTGTCACCTTCAAAAAAATGTTTTGTTTAGAAATTACAATAACAGTATGATTTAACTGTCGGTACAACTTAACCAACTCTTAGCTCTTCCTTATGTCACTATAGATTTTATGTATGTTAAATTGTCCAATTAGCAATATAGACAACTGGAAGCCTAAAAGGTTCTAAAAAGTTATTGAAAGTTAGTGAAAAAGTAACAGAAATTATGATGATTCCTTAGTTTTTAAGTAACAGTTACGATTACAACTTTTTATTCCCAACTTTGTTTAAATTTCTCTGCGTGCGTGTTTTATAATTATAGTACCATCGGAAAAAACCATATAAAATAGCAATATATTTAATCTTAAATATTGAAATACTTATTATTTATTGCCATTTGTGTGTGAGAGACTATTATTCATATAAATTATTATAATATATGTTAAACTCATTTATTACTAATCACAACCTTCAACATTATGAATATTACGATATCTACGAATAATATCAATTTTTCTACAAAGTACCTCGGACCATAAAAAATATCTAAGACGCAGAGGAACACAAATGCGAAATTTGTAATATATGTATTTTATTAAATAAATTTCAGAAATACCAAAGCTTTGTTTAATAATACAAGATAACTACTAATATAATGGACTCTAGCGATATTCAATAAAATTAAAATTATTTAACGGGCAAATAAGAGTAAATACTGCGCGGTTATAGGTGCGCTCTAATAATATATGATGATGACCCTTTTATCTCCTCATGTGGAGCATAGGACGTCTACAGACCTCTTCTGCTTTTGTCCGAGGCCTATATTCGTTTCTCGAATCAAATTGTTTTCGGATTTGCGAGTGATTGATCTACAGAATCCTACCTCAGTCAGATATTAGAGACAAATATCTAATGATATGTATACTACTGATGTATAGGACCTACAGTTTAACGCCGAATCCGAACGGCGTTGATGATCTGATGATCATAGATTTTTTGATCACCAGGTGGAGCCATTTTTTGGTTCATTAAACGCGAAAAATCGTGTTTGGGTGCACGTGGGATTGAACTCGGGTCTACAGATCGCGAGTCAATCGCATCGAGCGGTGAGCCACTCGACGCCTCTAATATAATAATATCTGTATATTTAAATAATTATTACATACATGACGTAAATTTCTACATTATAAATGTTGAATCTTGTTTGATAAAGTAATTTATAATGACAATTATATTAATTTTTGACATATTAATTTTCTGAAAATTCTTCTTCAGTGTTTTATTTGAACTAAAAAATTCTCGATTACATTGGTTTTCGATTACATTAAGTCGACAAATCAGTCGCACTCCTCTAACTTGAATTGTAAAGAAGCGTCATCTATTAATTATTGTGTTCAAGGAATTGATCTGTTGCGAACAAATGTATTGCTAATTTGGTATGTCAGTTACTGAAGATGGCTAAAAATTAGTCCAAATGTGGAAGTTTACGTCATATATATAATACCAATTTTTATTGGACCGCTAAATTTGAAACCGAATGAGACAATGTCATAGTGGTCTAAGCTGGATCACGAGTGCTTCTAAATAATTGTGTATGAATTTATATACTACGAATATAAGTCTTCGATTGCGCTGAAATTTTTTCAGACTTGAAACGCAATACTAATAAAAACTATCACAGTGAATTAAATTGTCTAACAATTTAACAATTATTGATGCTGTTTACGCATCTTATATCGATCTTACTAATATTGATAACCTATTAAAAACTGTAAATAATTAATTTTTCGCAGTCTCATTCGATCATATAAGTAATAATTTATATATACATATATTATTGTAGAGCGCACCTGTAACTGCGCAGTGTTTACTCTCATTTGTCCGTCAATTAATTTTAACTTTGTTTTATAATTAATCAACTTTAGTATCTCAAAAATGAGATTCAATTGCAATAAAATTTTCAATAAAAACTAATTCAAAGTTTTTACGAAATAAATTTTGGTTTTAAATTCCTTGAAAAAGAAATATTTCTCGATGGAACTTTCCTCTTTATGTATTTTAATTTATATTGTATCAAAATGACGTGTTTTATGTTTTCCGTTCGTGATAAATTTTTATACAAGAGATTTTCCGTTCAAGTTTAGGCGAATGGTCGTCCAGCAGATAATAGTGGTCATATCTAACATTGAAAAAGCGTTGCCACGTTGGTTGTAAAATTAATTCGGTAAGCAGCTTTGTCAATCACGGTTCTTCTTCCGTTTTGCTTTTTCATTTCTGTTCCGGGATTTTCCGCGTTTTCATTATTATCGCGATTCATATCCAAGTAACGTTGCAATCGACCCGAGAATTGTTTTCATCCTACGCGAAATACATGCTCGTACTCTTATCCCCCAATAACTAAATCCACAAAAACAACTCGCGGTACATAGACTAGATAGGAAAATCTGCATTCTGCGTTCTGACAATTCAGCTAATATATATTAACGACGTTAGCCTGTCGCATGCAGACCACGACAGAATATATTGTATGAATATTTCATAATTACACGTTGCATATGCATGTATGTTTATATACATATACCTTTGTAATATGATTAGATATCTATGCGTTTATACTCTATATCGTACGTATTCTCGTACAATCAGCCTTTCCGAATATATTTCGACTATGTTTTCGCTATTACCTGAGATTAAACATAAACGATAATCGGTTAATTAAAACGGGTCCACAACGAGTTGGCATAATTCTCAACGCGCGTGTTGTTACATCTAATATGTACTGTTATCTCAAATTCGAAAGTTATGACTAAGTAAATATATTAACAATTAGTTTCTTAATCATGATTAGTCAGTAAGCAATTTTGTAGCTCCGCGCATTGAACGTCGCGGTGAACGGTTGGAACCCTCTCTCTTGAAGAGAAATCTGCTAAACGATAAAAGCCAAACTGATCCGATCGATTGCATCGTTTAATCGTATCATTCGTTTATATGGACAAAACTCTAGTACCTATAGGGTACTGCCTACGCCGTTAGAAGCCTCCCTGTTCACATTCCCTTATTTAGACGAAGGAGCGTACTAATCGAATGTAAGGTTTACTGGCAGAGTGCTAGAAACAATAACTAGAACCAATTGCTGGCTGAGCCGAATTTCGTAGAAAGACCACCGATGCCCTTGCCAAACATACTACCGACTTTGCCAACAACGTTCGATGTAACGTTGCTCAAATTGGCCACGTAATTTGCGTCTTCTGTTATCGTCTCAACGATCGTCACTTTTGTCTTAGGTCTCTCCACCTCGTCGTCATTGCCATTCTCTGAAAGCCCTCTGTAATATAAGAAAAACTCAATTAACTTGTCTAGTTATAGCAAAATAAAATACTTTCATCTGTTCATTAAAAATTTCGTTATTTTAATTAGCAAAAATTAAATACAACTGACAACGAGAGTAGGATTGTAAATTCTAATTTTTGTAAGTTTATATTTTAGAAGGATAAATAAAAATTTATAGCTAAAGAAGAGAATTATCTATTTTCACAAAATATATATTTCTTAATACTCTCCAGTTGCGCACCTCTTTCGTCATGTAATTAATGTTAAAAATTATAAATTAAATTTAATATACCTCCCAGGTCAAAAATGTTAAAAATTATTAACATTAATTACATGATTAAAAATTAAAGGACTTACTCTTCGTTCTGAGCGCTCATGGTTAAGGCACAAGTTGCTTCTTCCGTTTTCATCCTCTTGTCTATAGTCTGATATGTCTTCGTATTGAGTTTTTCCTCCATAACACCTTGGAGCTCAAAGTCCGAGTAGATCTTCTTCACAATATGAGCTAGGCAGGTACATTGATACAAATGCAGGCTGTGATCAAGTCTTTCAGACAACCAGTTACATAGCATTTGTATTTGCGCAGTGTACCATTGCTACAGTTTAAATCAAAGTAATTCGATGAAATCTCCAATAATATAATACAAACGTGTCAAAACTGTTCCAATTTCTCTCTAAATATACAATTGAAGGATTTCCTACAAAAACTAAATAAGTTAATTTTTCAAAAAACCTAAATTATGGCGTTAAATTACATTTTATCAGTAATGTCATATCGTGAACAATGTTTTCAGATACAAGAATTGCACTTTGCTATTCCAGAATTGTCTACAAAAATGTTACAGATGTATTTCGCAACTTTTATGAAAAACTTCACTTTTCAGTTGAAATACTTCCGAGACATTTCTGAAAACTTGTTCCGTGCTATATGAGCATTAAATCAATAATTTTTATTGCAAAGATATAGGTATTTGTTATACCGCTATAGGTATTTGCTATACCGCTATATACAATGATATATACAGAGTCTTATTAATCAATTAAATCACCTATTAAGAGCAGGTAGAGTAGACCGAATTGAGTCAAAAAGTCTTATATCATTTTGAAGTTTACGTAATATTTAACGAGATATTAAATCTTAAAGATAGCCGAATAAACGCGTTTGTCCGGCCTACTATTGACAATTCCGTCATTGTTAGCTTGGCGCGCGGAGAGTGGGAAACGCCTCGTGCCGCGCACACCGCTGCGAGCCTCTAAACCGGACGGCACGCTTGAGAGCGATTGAGGGGCATACACGTTTGGCAGTAGTAGGCCGGACAAACGCGTTTATTCAGCTATCTTTAAAGTCTAATATCTCGTTAAATATTGCATAAACTGCAAAATGGTATAAGATTTTTCAACTCAATTCGATCTACTCTATCTGCATCTTGTTAGGTGATTTAACGACACCCTGTATATACGATAGATTGTACAATACTACATATATACGATAGATAAGATGCCAATCATTTTATTGTCCCTACACTCGCAACAAATTTGGTCCTTTATTTATGTAAATATTTCAAGATTTTCCACCTGTGTATCCCATTGACATTTTTCCGGTGCTGAGATCCTCCAGTGAAACTGTGTTGTTTCTCTTCTTTTTTTTAAACTATGAACATACCAATTTGAATTCTTCATCCTTATTTCTCTCTCAGCTTCTCAGTTGCTTGGAATGAAGGAGGGGGATGAGTTTAATTTTTGATTGCAGCGCATGCTCTTTTATGGAAACTGTTTATGGAAGATTGGAGAGATCTCGGATACGATTGGCTAAGTTTACCCCATTCACAGGGACCAGGATCAATCAAACGAAGAAGAAGGAACGGAAAATTTATGATCCGATATAACGACATTTAAATATCGTGTTTCTATTGTTTTTATTGGTACTTTTTGAGAAAATAGCACATACTTGATTTTTGTCATATTTTCATCGTCATGCTATGTAAGCAGGTAAATTCGATTTCCGACAATATATGACATTTGCCAGTATATGATGATTATGCTTGGCTATTGTCAGATTTCTGCCAACATAATAGTATGTAGCACACAAATTGTAATACACGATATTGACTACTTGGGTATGCTTAGCAAAAACTCAGAATAAACAAAGTAAAAATTGTCTAGCAATAGATGTCTGATCTTGCAAGAGATCGCGTTGTAATATATTAGATAAGAACTGATATGTTTTAGTGAGACAGAACGGTAATATAAGATGTGTGAACGATAATATGAAATGAATGATGTCACCATTATCGACATTTTTAATTTGGAATTTAAATTAAATTTTTAATTTCAAATTAAAATTGTCTGTACCATCAACATCGATCAAGTTTCGCCATCATTTCAGCATTTCTTTAAGATTAAAAACTTTTTGTTTCCCAAAAACTTGACTATTTGACTTATTTATAATTTTTATGAAAAATCCTTCAATTATAATATAATTACAGATTCCTTTGCTTGCTATATGTAAAGAGTAACACTTACCTCGAAGAAGGTCAAAATCCACAATTCATCAAGGACTTTGCTGCGAATTTGATCTATGCAATTTCTCATAAAATTTACATAAGCTTGTCCCATTTCCTTCCCGCTTCCTGATACCTTCTAAAAAACAAATCATAAGATATCGATCAAAATATTTTAATAATTTTTTTATATTATCGCACTTGTGATATCTTGTTATTTATTATTATTTATTATTGAGCAAAGCGAGTACCGTAAGACTGAGAATGGAACCAATAAGTGAACCCTCATCGTAACGAGACAACTTGGAGAGTGTTGCTTCCAATACCGTTATGAGCTTATTAATCATTCCTTGGTTCATTCCTGCTGATGTCTTTTCAATCATGTCATCAATCTTGGAATGATATTGATGCTAGAAATCATACGGATATTAATAATAATATAAAAATAATATTACCTGCTGAGCAATATTATTGTTATTTAATGTAGAAAAATTGTTTTACCAATATTTTTTTATTAACATCAATAATATTCTTTTCATTACGCATGCACGTAATGTGCCCTATACCTCAATGCTTTTGCGTGCGGGAAATAGCCAATACCTCAAGCCATTGAGTTATTTCTCTAACCCCACTCTTCTGCGCAAAAACGTTTTGGTATAGGCACATTACGACGAGCACTTGTAATGAAAAATTCTATGTGTAGTGAGTGGGGCATATTTGTTTATAGGTCGGCACGGGCGCGCGTACGCACTCGCTTCGCTCGCGCTCATCCCGCGCTATAAACAACTATCCCCCACTGTTACACAATGTACTATTAAACTCCTCTGTAATATATATTCGTATTAGCAACACACGCTTTCTATGTGTAATTCTTACATTAGAGTACATCTTAAAAATAAAATAACTACATATTCAATAAGTATAAATGAGAATACAAAGTAAAATATTAATTATTATTAATATATAATATTAATTAAATTCGATTAAATCAAACTTTTAGGAATTTTACTACGTTATATATTTACATTAAAATTATTCTGTGTTAAAAAATATTACATTTACAGTTTTACGACTACATTTACATTCTACGATTTTCCGAAAAATTAGTTACTGAATAAGCTTACCACATCAACACCATCGACAGTACAAAGCTTAAAACTCTGATTCTTGGCGTCCAAAATAACGTTCACCATAGCACACATTTCCGATGGTATGATATAATCTGTAGAGATGAAAGTCACGCCTTTTTTAAGCCATTGTTGGAAGGCCGCGTCAGTCCTTTGAATGCACGACTCTACCATGTCGCATGCCATTAGTTTTAGTCTCTGCTCAAGATGTTGTCTAAACTCTTGATCAGGCCAGTGTAACCCGCCGATGAATGATTGCAACGCATCCAACTTCCAGAAAAGATCCTCTGATGTGGCGCACCCGTTTCCCTTAATCTCCCATCGTTCTTTCTCGAAGCCTTTATGAATCGACTGAGCGATCGACGTTTCCATAAGATCAACGTAACGTACTACCAATGGCGCGAACGTGTCGCGTAGATGCTGATGGAATCTTCCATTCTTCAAATTGTCTAAGTTCAAATTAAATTTTATGATCATCTATAGAACTTAGATCTAATGTTAAAACACATTTCTGATATTTAAGATAAGAGAAGATATATCAAGTTAAATCCTATCAGTCATAATCTTGGATAATTACTAAAATTAAAAACTCACCGTCAGTTTTAAGATAATCATTCATTATCTGGAACAGCGGAAAGCTATCCCATGTGTCTGGTGGTTGCTCTGCCAGTACTTTATCCATATCGACGGCAAACAGCGACCAGAAGATCTCGGCATGCTCCACCATAAGATCGCTAAACCAGGCGAACGCCTGCGGTTCAGTGTAGTAGGAGGGGATCGTGAAAATATTGGACATCGCACATATACGGTGGGCATATTTCCTCTAGCTCGGGGTGATGGGGACGCCACCCTGAGCACGGGGCCCTCGAGTACTCAGAAGACACTACTTCTACTTCATAATGTACGTCAGAATGGTCGTAAAACTCGTGATGCTAAGCAAAAAGCGTTTCTTGCATCTAAGATTGCAAAAGATGTAATTATTGATTTGAACGAAACATTGAGAGAGATATCGCAACCGAATGAGACATTTCTCATTTGTGAAAGATATCTGGTAGAAAAAGTGAAAGTGAAATTAAAGTTAAACTAAATACAGCAGCATATGGAGTGCTAGGATAAACACAGTAATAAATTATTTTATTGTTACACTAACAGGGAGAAATGTAGAGTGGATCTCGCGCTGCGTGGAAAGTCATTACGTAAGTAGAAAAAGGTGTAAAGTAGTTCTTAATGTTTTATGTGACAAAAATAAGACATTGTTTTTCAAATATGTTTGGGTAATAATGTTTTGATAAATAACAACCGATGGCTAAAACCTGTTGCAGGTTATTCAGGGTGATGACCTTGATAACATATACATATATCAAGATCAAAGTCATTGTAAAACTCAATTCTAAATAATTACTCCGACATAATTTTTACGCATGCGCGAAAAATAATTTTTACTTCTCTCTTTTCATGATTCAATATTTTTTAATGAAAGAATTATAGAAATTCTAGGGCACAATCACTTGAAATTGTAGGTATTTTTCAAGAGTTTTCCAGATTAGATTAAATTCTAGGACAATTCCAGGATTTAAGGTCATTCAAGCATTACTGGACATCCTATTTAATTTATAATTATATAATATTATGTGTATAAATTAGTTCGGTCCATTTTTTGTGTTCAAAAATGCATTTATTTCAAAACAAAATGAATGAACAGATTAATTGAAGTATTGTCCATCGCTGGTTACTACTTTTTCCTATCTCTCAGGCAATTTTCGAATTCCATCTCGAAAAAATGACTCGTCTTTGGAGGCGATCATCTTTTGGAAAACGGACCAAACTAATTTGTACTCCCAATAATTAAAAAATGATTTCTAGATTTTCAAAAAAATATACTATAGTTAAGTTACTTTATATTATATGTATGACACAAAAGTAAGTGTATGTACATGGAACGTTTGATCTTTGATGTATTTATCCTTTACTTACTGTTTTATGACGGGTTTCATGATGTATACATATGGAGCATGCAATTTGAAAACGTTAACTTTAAAAAATGAAGTTGCTCGTGTCTTTCTCTATATAGAGAGTGAACGTCTCTTAGTTGCAAAATTGCAAAAAGATATCTTAATTTAACGATTATTCTACGTGAAAGCGACTTTCGATGTGGTAATAGAAGCTCTTTATGAAATTATCTACACGATCCAATTGTCTACCACGGCGGCAAGAGAAAATGAATAGCGGATGCGCGTTTGTCTTCTGAGGAGGTAGCGGACCCTTACCACGGTCCATACATTCAAGGCATGCTGACCCTCTCTCTCGAGAGCCCCGAGAATCGACATTCAGTTCTAAAAACTCAACTAATACCTCCGAATAATGTTCTTCATTTTGCTGTAGTAAATCGACGCACAGCTCAGCAAGATGTATGAGATCCTCCAGCTTCTTGCTAGGAGGCACACACACTTCACCGCTAAGATCGTCCTCGATCTTAGCTTCGGCGGATAATTTTGTGTAATTTACCAATGCCGCCGTTTCTAAGCAGTTCTTTATGAGAGCTTTCACTTCCTCCTGTGGCACGGGTGTCACACTATCCTTCATGAGAACGCGTTCCAAAAGAGATAGAGTCGCTTTTAACGCGCCTTCCGGACGCCCAAATGGAAAACTGTACCTATTGCGAGAAAGGACAGTTAATAACATTTAAAATAACAGATAAAAAGTAATCTTTGAGAAATTATATTTGTGAAAAAGTCGATTAGTCAAATTTTAAGAAATTTTTATTGTGATGACTATAATATAATCATTTTCAAATTATGAATAAATTAATATTAATATAAATAAATGAATCTCATAAATGAATTAAATTACAAACACCCTACAAATCATCAAAAGTGAATTAATATAATTTCATCAAAATATCGTAATTCAAAAAGGATGATTTAAAAAAAAAAAGAGTCGTCAAAATCATCACAACTAAAAACATATAACTTAAAAACATTTGTTTACTTAGTTATAAAACAAAAAATAACATTTGATCATACAGAAGCTATGCGTTCAGGAGTTATTTCTGTATTTGGATTCATTGTTAGAATGTCAACGTTTTGTAAATACTGCAGTTCACTTAATCAAGAAGACGAGAAACAGTTTGATATTGAGGTTTACGCAATGTTCACTCCAGTTGAAAAAAATCTTTGAAATTGTTGAAATCAACAATGAAATCGTTGTAATGAGAAATCAAAATCATTGAAATATTGTTGAAAATTCAGCACAAATAACTTTTTGTTGAGATACTGCACACGGTTGGCGGCGCACAATCAAACAAATGATATATAGTTTCGATCAATGTTTTCTGGCAGTCATGTGGCTGATACAGATTAAAATTTCTAATATTCTTATATGCGTAAAAGCTGCAATTGCATATTCCTCTTACACTTACAGGAAAGATGACAGTAAGTACAAAACACAATTTTTTCTATTTAATATTGTTATTAAAATGATTTTAGGGATTAAAATTTTGGATATTTTATATCATTCGAAATATTTGAAGTTAATAAAATATTATTTAAACGAATAAAAATACGTTCAACATACTGTTTAAATTACTTTCTTTCATATTTCCTCAATTATATTTTATCTTGATACGTTTTTATAGCTTAAATGTAAAGACTTAAATGACTTAATTTAAAGACTTAAATCTAAATGTAATATCTTCTCACAAATTACCTTAACAATATTTTGTATTGAGTTATTTATAAAATATTATTTAACAAATTGTAATAAAATCTCAATAAAATTTTAATGAATTGTAATGAAATCTTAATGAGAAATTATGAAAGTTGGTCAATTAATATAAATTTCAATATAAAATTTAATAATATTTCATCATTATTCATTACGACTTCAGTAATATTTAATCTCATTATTCATTTCTTTTTCTCAGTCCTGTTGCTCGTGACACCGAGTGCGGTGACTTCTGTCATATACCTGTGATGCGCATGCATATACATATGTGCAAAGTCATATAGAATCTATAGTTCAATGTCGATTCCGAACGATGAAATTTTATTCGAAAAGTTCTCTTGGCAAAGATATTCTCGGTAGGTTACCATTCCTTCCGAGAGGAGACACGAGCAACGTATATTTTGGTTCTTTCGGAATTTAAACCTGGGATCTCTAACACAGCAGACCAGTGCGCTATTTATGCCACGCTCTCGCTTTCGCGTTATTTATTACAATTCAAGAAAAAATTTTTCATCACACAATATTCATATTGACATACTAATAATGGATTTGGATATGGAGATAATCCGTAAAACGCATAGCTTTTGTATCGAAAGTATCTGTGGAAACTTAAAAAAAAAAAAACATTTGATTATGTTAAGAATATAACTTTTTAAATTGATGTTAATTGATTAGTCAACAATTTTTTATGAAGTTAAAAAATAATTTTCCTCTTTTGAAAAATTTTTTTAAACACATGTGAGTGAAAAATGTCATACATTCAGTTGAGGTGGTTCCTCGTATCTAATATTTCTTGTGAATTTAAACAATTTCCAGTTCAAGCTAACTGTGCGCCGATAAATTCGTTATTACTCCGACTTTTTGAAGCTATATTGCAAATTCCGAGAATATGGCATTTTTCACTAATGTGTGGTTAATCTCATCAGTCCACTTTCATTTAAAATTATTTAATTTTTTTAATTGCATCACTTTTAAAATAAAGAAGTGATATCATAAAAAATTAATTTTCAAAACTAAATATATTGAACATATTGAACATATAATTGTGTAATAGTTATTTTTTACATCGCACAGTTCAAAGAAAATTAGAATTGCTTACCTAAAGTTGGTGATTTGATTTTCGAGAATCTGTCTCAGTCGTTCCTTAATCTCCTGAAATTTATCTTTTTCTTCATGAGTAATCGAGCCCACGCCATCGGCAGATGTTGTGTTACCGTAAACATGAGTAGCACAGAAAGCAAAACCATAGTGTATCAATGTCGGATCTATCATAATCCCGCGATCAATTCTATCCAACAGATCATGAAGGTAACAGAGATGTCGAAAGCATCCGCGCACGCCGTACCTACCATCAGAAAGTATATGCTGAAATCGACATCGTAAACAAAGGTAAAACAAAAAATAATCACACTAATACTTTCTAACTTTCTAATCTTTTCAATGTTTCGTAAACCATATATATCTATGGGGCATTTCACGCCAAATCGGCCACTCAAAAACTTTTGGACTTTTGATTTGGCTGAAATTTTGATATATTATAGTACCCATCGCAAGAAGCTACTATGATTTTTTTTGAATTTTTTTATGAACATAGTCATGATATGAATTTTTTTAAAAATTCGCAATTTTTAAATGCCTCTATAACTTTGCGAAAAATAATCCAAATAAAACGTTTTTTTTTTTTAAATTGTGTGTTTTTTTCTCTAGTTTTCAAAAAAAAATATCAAGAAAAGTTTTAAAATTGTTTTTTAATTTTTTTTTAATTTAATGTAAAAAAATTATTAATTTTTTAAAGTATGACACGTTTAATTTTTTTTTAAAAATTCTCATAAAAACTTAGATTTATTTGATGATTTTTAAGACTAATTTGACCGTGGGCAAATTTTTCCTTCTATTTTTTTTCGAATTAATTTTTTTTTTAATTTTGCATTATTTTACACGATAAAATAATATATAGGTATAAATTCGTGACTTTTTCTTTTTCTAAAATTTTCGGTTCATTTTCAATGTAATAACTTATTTTTTTATATTTACCTATTTAAAAAAAAGTGTTTCCGTGATTGATATTACTTTTATATTAAAATTATCGTTTTCTTATTATGAATTTTTTTACAATACAATTTTTCATTTTTATAAATTGTTATTATTTCCAATCTTATTTGTAAGAGTACGGCTACACTTCTGCATGCAAGAATTAAGCTTGCATGTACAATTACAATTACTTTAGTAATTGTACATGCAAGCTTAATTCTTGCATGCAGAAGTATAGCCGTACTGTTACAAATAAGATTGGGGGGACAATAATAATAATTTATAAAAATGAAAAACTATATTGTAAAAAAAATTCATAATAAGAAAACGATAATTTTAGTATAAAAGTAATATTAATCACGGAAACACTTTTTTTTTAAATAGGTAAATATAAAAAAATAACAATATCAATTAAAGAAGACTCGAAAATTTCAAATAATAAGAATAGTAAGGCTAATGAGAAGCTATTCGCTGTAATTAGTGCGATCATATATAAGATATGTTAAGTGTGAATATTATATACTACGTATGTAATTCCCCCCCTTTTGCGCGCCGAACATCCGTCGATCTTAAAACGCAAATTTAATGAACTACCGTAGTAATATCACAATTTTTGATGCTAATATCAAATTAATTGAATTGATTAAGAATACGTTAATCGTGCCAATTCTCGCAAGTGCCGAATTACATGATTGTCTGTTTATATAGAACTTCTTTCTAACATCTCTCCCAGGCGTCTAAGGTAGGCTCCCACTACATTACCTTACTGATGAGTCTAGTGGAAACCGGGACGAAACGCCAACTCGTGATATTCTTCACAATTCTTATTTTTCATAGATTTAAATTTATTTCCACTTTAATATTATAATTTAAGAATTTGATATGTCTTTCAACATATTATTAAGATCCAATTTTAGATGCTATAAGCATCAAAAATTGTGATATTACTACGGTAGTTAATTAGATTTGCGTTTTAAGTTCGACGGATGTTCGGCGCGCAAAAGGGGGGAACTACATACGTAGTATATAATATTCACACTTTAACATATCTTATATATGATCGCACTAATTACAGCGAATAGCTCTCATTAGCCTTACTATTCTTATTATTAATAAAAAAATAAGTTATTATATTAAAAATGAACCGAAAATTTTAGGAAATGAAAAAGTCACGAGTTTATACCTTATATATTATTTTATCGTGTAAAATATGCAAAATTAAAAAAAAAATTAATTAAAAAAAAAATAGAAGGAAAAATTTTCCCACGATCAAATTTTAGTCTTAAAAATCATAAAATAAATCTAAGTTTTTATGAGAATTTAAAAAAAAAAAAATTAAACGTGTCATACTTTAAAAAATTAATAATTTTTTACAATAAATTAAAAAAAAATTAAAAAACAATTTTGAAACTTTTCTTGATATTTTTTTTGAAAACTAGAGAAAAAAATACACAATTTAAAAAAAAAAAAACGTTTTATTTTTCGCAAAGTTATAGGCATTTGAAAATTGCGAATTTTGAAAAATGCGAGTTTTTAAAAAAATTCATATCTCATGACTATGTTCATAAAAAAATTCAAAAAAAAATCATGGTAGCTTCTTGCGATGGGTACTATAATATATCAAAATTTCAGCCAAATCAAAAATCCAAAAGTTTTTGAGTGGCCGATTTGGCGTGGAATGCCCCCTATATATGTATGCATTTATGAGATACAAAAATACACTTATGCATTATAACAATGTGAAATAGGAACAAAAACTAACAATAAGAATATCAAACAAAAAGTTTTAATTTAAATTGCTAAAGTAGTATTCGCACAAAAGTATTATTATAAATTAATCTTTTCCATTACTTAGAATTTGTAGAGTAAATAAATAAAATAATTTTATCTTTTGTGTGTGTAATAAATCAAATAAGAAATCAATTTCTATTCCTCATTCGATGAAAACTAAATAATAAAAAATATTTGTTTTCACACGCGCACGCACACATACACTTAAAAAATTTTTAGTAAAAGTTTCAATTAGGGAACCAAGCTCCAATGATCTTGATCTTGATATATGTTGTCAAGATTATGACCCTGTGTTGGAGTGACTTCCAACAAGTTTTAACCGTCGCTCGCCCTTCAGTTAAAAAGTTATTAACAAAAAAGTTTCAAAATTGACGCCTTATTTTTGCTGTAGGTAGGGATAATAGGGGCGCACGACTTCCATAATTGTATTATTGCATATGGGTTTCGACTTTCTACGCAAAACAAAGGTCACTCCATACCAACAAATGGGTTAGGTTATTTTTAACAGTAACGGAGCCCCCCCCCCCCCGCAGGGGGGACGGAACTTACTGTATTCACGCATACACTTTATAACATATTCTTGAAACTTTTTTATTAATAACTTTTTAACAAAGGGTGAGCGACGGCTAAAGCTTCTTGGAGGTCACTAAGGGTCATGACCTTAAAGTCTGTTTTTTGTGGCTGAATTAGTGTATATTATTGGAACTTAAAATGAAACAGGCATATGTTTGATATTTGTTGAAAACGAGGAAGAAAGTTCTGGTGCAGTCTAGTGCAGGAACAGAAAACAGATTACTTGACAACATATGTCAAGGTCATTGGAGCTTGGTCTCCTAATCGAAATTTTAACCAATACAAACCAAATTTTTAACCATTATAATTTAAAATAGTATCAAAGAGAGAATAACTCTAATTATAAACAAACTTTTTATCATTAACAAATAACCAAATAACGAATAAACATATAATACAAAATGTTCCATTAAAGTTAGAAGAATTCAGGACACAAAAAATTTATATAAACATTATATTGAGTCTGTCTGACTTTGTTTTCAAGTTAAATATGTTTCTTTTAAAAAATCAAAGATTCCGTGTATACATTTTGAACGTTGGCATTAATATGTGTTTTTTATCTTTGATCCTTGTCAAAAATAAAATAAAAATTGTGATAAATCCATGTATATAAGTAATTCTGCGTCAATATGTTATAAAATCTGTTAGGTGTAATAAAATGAGATACTTTGCAGCTGTCAAAAACACGTATCATTGCTAAAGAAAGCTTTCTTTATCTTTGATTTTTTAATATTATGAAAATTGTATAACGATAATTTAATTTTAATGAATATTATTGTATCATCGAAAATGACCCGATCGGTGTCAAAAAGTCTGAATTTGTATTATTGTATTAATATATGAATTAAAATAATTTGTTAGATTAAATTGGCTCTATTTATATTTTTATATTGATTTTAAAAAATATTATATAACGAAAGTGAAATTTGGTGAAAGAGAAGGGTGGTGGGGATGGGTGATAGGAAGAGGAGGGAGGGAGGGAGAGGGGGTGTGGTGGATCAAAGTTGGTGGAGGTGTGAGTGAAAGATGAGAGGAGAGAGGCGCACATGACGCGGATAGAGAATAAGGAAGAGAAGGAAAAGACGTTACTTCATTTCTCATAAAAATCATCACTTTTCGACCGCTTGTATGTCCAGAACGGCTTGACCAATTTAAAATTTTTTTAGTACAAATTACTCGTGGCGATGCCGCATTTCAGGATATATTACGTGTGATTTAAAATTTTTTATATTTTAGTAGTTATGAACCCCCAAAAATGGACTTTGGTGGCTCAGGATAAGAGACTTGTAGTGTCTTTTATTAATCTTTTAATTTAAATTAAGTAGTAGTTTTTTGAACATGGCAGGAGATACTACCGTGTCTCCTGATCTCGTTAACTATTGCGAAAATTGTAAAATGGTAGAAAACTTTTCTCCTCAGTTTAGTTCATTCTATCCTTGTGCGATAAAATTTTTCATTACTTTTCAAACACACCCTGTATATTTACTCCTAAAGTTATGCTCTATAAAACATCTTATATATTTATATATTTATTCATGAATAAAGAATGGTTAAATACAGGGAATGGAAGTAACTCGTTACTTGTAACGAAGTTACAGTTACAAGTTACTTTTTTGGTAACTTTACTGGTAACTGCGTTACTTTCTTTTTTTGGTAACTGTAACGGTAACGAGTTACATTTTTTGGGTAACTGTAACGAAATTTACAGTTACTTTTGTCGTTACTTTGCACACGATTGAACACGGTTCGATTGGATACATGCTATTTATAACGCTTATCAATAAGACTTGAAGCCCTTATAGACATTCGGCCGTTATGATTCAGTAATTATTTTACACTTCTATCTTCTATGTAATACATAGGACATACAAATATTTCAGTTTGCTGCATATTTTACAGGTTTTAGAATTACAAAATTGTGTTTAAAAAAAATTAAAAAATAAATTAAATAATAGTAAAATGAGAAGGGCTATGAACCCAAAAGCGAAACAGTTTAAAAGACGATGACAATAAGTGTCGAAACGTCGTTTGTTTTTATCTTTGTTTTGTTCTAATATATATTTATACATTTAATTACATTGTCATCGTCGTTCTTATCAGAAATAAACTGTTTCATTTTTGGCTCGTAACCCTTCTCATTTTACTTTTATTTAATTTATTATTTGAGCCATTCTACATTGTTTTTTTTTTAAATAAAACTATATATTTGTCAGTATTACATATAAAAAAAAAATGCAAAAGTACATTTTTAAATTGATTTTAAAAAAGTAACGGAAAAGTAACGAAAAGTTATTTTTCAAGTAACGGTAACTGTAACGAGTTACTTTTAAAAAGCGATAACTGTAACTGTAACTAGTTACATTTTTTACTCGGTAACGAGTAACTGTAACTAGTTACTTTTAAAAAGTAACTTTCCATTCCCTGGTTAAATAGCGAATAAATATAGTATATTCATTATTTACAAGTAATTGAATAGCAAACATACATTTTTATTCGTCATTTGTGTAGCTGACTAATGAGTAAATTTTTATTCAAATAAAAAGGCGAATTATGAATACACTTTTATTGTTTATATTAAATTTATATTAAATAAAAAATTATTGAATAGATAAAAAGTTATTGAATAATGCTCATCTTCGATATGAAATACTTTGTAAAATAGATTAAATTGTTTAAAAAATGATAAGAATAAATTTCATTACCTGGCACAATATTCATCCAACACAAAAACTTGACCAGGTGAGAACCATCCGAGCGAGCAGTAAGGATCGTTCAATCTATAGTCTAGGATCAAGTTCTGCAAGTACTTGAATAGTCCGTGATGGTCAAACTTGCATGGATCCGCACTGATATAGTCTTCCATACCGTGCTTCTTTGCGCGATCGGCGTCACCTTGAATCTTACTTATGGTTGAATTTTTGTCAGCTACGGAGACAGGCGGGGTAGGCTTGTGCGACTGACCAGTCGCCCGATACATTGCCATCACCCACAAGTGACATTCATTCTCGTCATCCGAGGCATATACTATATTGTCGCCTTCACGAACAGCGTTGAAGAAATACCTGTCGAATACACGCGACACGTAATTGCGAATTGAGTGATTAATAAGACATATAACCTTTGTTCATCAACTGTGAAATATCTTACTCATAATTTCTCATGAAAATTTTTCATAATTTTACATATCAACAATTTGTTAAGTAATTATGTAAAATTATAGGAAATTTTTTTAAAATTTTTTAATATTTTCTGATAATTCTTTTCCACCAATAAGAAATAAAAAATATCATAATTTTTTAAAATAATTCGATGAGAAATTTTTCATATATTTAAATATTTTTTTATATCTACAAATTAATATAAAAGGCAAATAAATCTCGCAAGAATATCAACTGCTAAAACAAATTGATGTATGATTTAATATGTAAATATAATGATATAAACGTTTCGATCTTCTAAATGTCGGTCATCTTCAGTGTCATACTTTACTTAAAAATTAGATTTTCTAATATCTTTTTCAACAAGAAATCAGAAAAATTATGATAATGAAAGAAATATGGTTTATTATCTGTGTAGAAATCACAGTTATTTTAATATAATAGTATAAATAAATTATAAGATGTCTTTTACGCCACTATATTTCTTACAAATGGAAAAATAAAAATTTCTCATAACTTCTCATGGAAGAGTTCCAATAAACTATGATATTTCTTACTCCTTGTTGTTGGAAAAAATATCTAGAAAAATTAGAAAATCTGAAAAACTTCTCAAAATTTCTCATGAGATCGTTTCCAGAAATAGAAGAGATTTTTCCATCTTTGTTTTCCTGTTGTTGAAAAAATATACGAGAACATATTAAAAAATTTGAAAGTCAGTTTCTCATGGGATCGTTCTGAGATATTATAAATTTTCCGATTTTATGAGAAAAATATAAAAATATGTTAAAAATCTAAAAAATTTCTCATAATTTAACATATCTAATTACTTACAGTTACAGATTGTTGATATAAAAAATTATGCAAAATTTCATAAGAAAAAGTTTGGCCAGAATATTGACCACCAAATAGTGCCAAATACTTTCAAATGGTATAATGGATAAAGGTACAGTTTTCATAATTCTAAGGTCTAAGAGAAATCTAATAATTATGTAAATAAAAATTATCTTGAGTTTTTAAGTACTTTTTATAAAAAATAAATTAAAACAAAATTTATATTATTTTTTAAATTTTGTTTTGAATAAATTTCTGGAAAAAATTATAAAAAAAATTATGTAATTATTGGTATGTGAGAAAATATGAAAAAGTACGATATATTTGAAAGGTGAAAATTTTACAAATGTGATAAGGAGGATATATGGAAAAAGTCATATAGATTCCCATTGCATTTGATAAGTATTTATGAGAAAGAGATTATTTTTTATGAATAAATATGATATATATATATAAATAGAAAAATTAAATTTTTAATGTGTCAGACTAATCAAAAGCTAATTTACTTTCCAAAGTATTAGATGCTAATAAATTTTTTTCTATAAAATCAATTAAAAAATAGCTTAGAATTAACTTACAATTAGACAGAAATTTGTTTTTTAATTATAGAATTTTGTAAAACGTCTAATAGCATAGTTTTGTAATACTGAAACGAATTTTATTAAATTCTCTACTATCAAAAACAAAAATTAATTAACGTCTGACAACAACAAACGATTCTAATAGGCAACAACTTTATGAATCTATGCGACTACAAACAAGCTGCAGCAGGGATTAGGTATGTTTCAATTTGCAAGGGAGAAAAATTTACCTTCCTCCCTCTAAATCCATGCCAACCATGAGATTAGCGGAAACGGCCTCGATATAGTCCACTGTATAGCCATCGAGCTGCATCATTTCCGATGGCTCGCTTTTCTTTTCTTTGTATGAGCACATCGCAAATGTGTACTGCGAGACCTGGACCAACACGAAGTACCGCTTCTTCCACTTTTTCCACACGGACTTGCCCATTGCGTAGAGATAGCCGCAGTGCTTCATGTTAAGCGGCTTGTCCATACGACAGGCGATCTTCATACGTAGATCCTGATCGGCGCAATTTTTGGGTACGTTCATGCGGTGCCACTCGGGCGTTTTGCATGACAGTGGGGTAGGCCGTAGAATCACTTTGCCTAATTCCTTATCGTCAAGCGCAAGCATCGCTGGATTTTCAGTATACAGTCTGACTTTGACCACTGGCAGCGGGTGCATTGTCGTAAAATCACCCTGAGTATCCCACCTATAAATAGGACCCATGGACGAGAATGATGCGGTCGGTCCTGACCTCCCATGGATATATTGCGATCGGGATTTCCGATCGTCAATTCTCTTTCTTTACTCACATAGGTTTGGAGGCCTCAGCCTGATCGGTCTGTAGCTTCTCGCCGCCCTCCACTTCCATAGTGCAATAAACTATTCTATCGGGTGCTAGGCTTTTGAGGCCTTTAACCTCCATTACGACTACTTCCAGCTGGAAGGTCAGGCCGACGTCCATTTTCGTCAGCTGGGGATCGGAATCAGCGGAGTCGCCCTCCAGTTTAGCGAGAGAACCCTGACCGCGGCAGCGGGAGCGCTCACCACGATGGTTGTAGCGCTTCAGCTTCTGCAGCCCGTATTTGCTGTCTATCGAACCCTTAGAGACTGGTAACGACTCCAAATTAGTCATTAGCAGGTTGATAGACGACTTGAGCTCCTCAATGTAGAGCGACTCCATCTCTTTCAGAAGAAATCTAGGCATGAGCTTGCGATTCTAGGGATAAAGAAGGAATGATCGGTGTTCTATTCAGGAACAAGTAGAAGCAATCAAAGGAATATCAGCAATAGAACAGATTAAAAAAACATCTCCATGTTCAAAATAAAACAGCATTAAATGTATAAAAACTTAAAAACGAAAAAAAGAAAAAGCGATGGTCACGGTACCTTCTCCATCTCGTTGACCTTCTGTACGCGACCGTCCAGCTCCCTCCTGATGGCGGCAGCCTGTTCATCGGCTGAGTCCAACAGGAGGGCGTTGAACAGAAGCTGGTGCTCGAACTTCTTGATGCCGAGTATCTGTTGAAACATGTCGTACAGCTGCTCCTTCGACAGTATCAGCTCCGAGTTCAAAGACTGCTGTTGCATCCTGGAAGGCCGTTTGGTGTCTTCGTCACCAGTACCTTTTAAAATACAATCAAATTTGGCCAACCAAGACGTAAGTACAGTCTCTTTGCTCAGTCCGTCGATTTCCGGGAGGCTCCGAACACGCTTGTCAATGTTCTTCTTGAATACCTCACGGAAGTCGAGCTGGGAGCATGCACCGCTCTGCACCATTTGTACCACTCGGTCTGACTTCAGAAACACGTCGTAGTAATTCTGTATGGCATTATGGAATGCTTCGTCGGCCATGATCTGTGTTTCACCCTTTAAAAAACTCTGTAAATTATACAAATACATTCTTTTTTTCACGTAGCATAACATAAATTATATAACATAAATATTAGTCTTAAATTTTATAGTTTACTCCTTCTTTTTATTGATAACTAAATATGCTGAACTAAACTACATATTGAACATTTTTTTCTAATACACGCGCACGCACGCACGCACACACATTTATATATTAAACTCTTTATATTCCGTATATTAATTATATTTTGTAAATTTAATTTCAAATAAGAAATGAAAAAATAAAAATTGTATTTCTAAATGGGACATCCTTCCAATTGAATTGTAATTTTACATGTGATATTGTTACGACATATATTGATTATATTTACACAAATTTTATAAATATATTTAAGTTTTCATCGCGCGCGCGCGAACGGTATTCATTAGTAAATGAATTTAAGAGTTCTCATCGGTATTTATTGGTAAAAATTTTATCTTTGAAATTTTTATAGTTTAAATAATAAAGAAAAAAAGAAAAAAATTATGACCAAAAACAATTCTACATGTACATTAAAAAAAATATAATTGATTTGTTGAATATACGCTGGCTGAAAAATGCGTTTGTTAATTGCAAATTATTATTTAAAAATAAAAGAAATTTGTGAAGAATATCACTACGTCGACTCGCCAACAGAGGTCTATAGTTAGTCATGTCAATTCTCGCAAGTGTCGAATTACATGATTATTTGTTTATATAGAACTTCTTTCTAACATCTCTCCCAGGCGTCTAAGGTAGGCTCCCACTACATTACCTTACTGATGAGTCCAGTAGTGGAAGCCGGGACGAAACGCCAACTCGTGATATTCTTCACAATTCTTAATTTTCTTAGATTCAGATTTATTTCTACTTTAATATTATAATTTAAGAATTTAATATGTCTTTCAACATATTATTAAGATCCATTTTTAGATGCTAAATGCATAAAAAAAAAATAATAATTGTGATATTACTACGGTAGTTGATTAGAGTTGCGTTTTAAGTTCGACGAACGTTCGGCGCGCAATGGGGGGGTAACTACTTACGTAGTATATAATATTCACATTTTAACATATCTTATATATCGCACCAATAACAGCTGAAAGGACTCTCTATTAGCCTTATTATTCTTGTTATATGAAAAAAAATATCTTTGATTAAAAAAAATTTTCCTTGATTATGATTTTTTTTAATACGAGCAAAGATATTATTTCTTTAAATCTTGTATCGAACGTTATATAAGTTAAAAGAAGATAATTTAAAAACAAGAAAGAATTTATTTGTAAGAGAAAGAATTTTTAATAAAATATAAAAAATGTTTATTTATAATTAAAAAAAATCTTTAATTATTGCAAAAGTTGTAATATAAATTTTAAAGAAGTATTTTTATTACGTAAAGAAATTTCAGTGAAGTAAATAATTTCATTAAAATAAAAATATTTTTTTCATTAAAAAAACCATTTTTTTTATTAAATCAATTTTTTTTTAAATAAATTTTTCTTCAAATTTAAGACAGACTTTTTAAGATTAATAACACATTTCTTATTGTTAAGACATACATTTATTTATAAGCAATAAAATTGTTTTCCTTTTAAAAAAAACCTTCTTTCCATTTCATTAAATATTTATTTTGTCACAGAACATTTTCTTTTGTATTAACATGTACAATTCCTGAAATAAATATTTTTATTTTTTAAATTAATCTAATTTTTTTGGACTTGTGAGTCCCGAAACGTACGACATTTTTTTGTTAATTAGTTTTTTTATATTATAAATTTAAAAACAATTATTATTATTATTAAATCCATTTAGCTCGATTTAGACCGTTTAATTATTTAATATATAAAACTTTAATTTACAACATCTCCTAAACCAATGCCGTCCCTCACTTAATTTTTGCAGGACATTACTCAGGACACTCTTTTCTACAACACATCTAAAGAACATTTAATAAATCGGTGAGATGTCACCTAAAATGCATATTTACCAATACTAAAAAGATTAGCAATACAAGATGTTCATACCTCAAAAAATGAACTTTGGAGACTCAGGATAAGAGACTAGTAGTATCTTTTAATTTTTAAACATGGCCGGAGACACCACCGCGTCTCCTGATACATATATAAAATTATTTTTAGTCACAATTTCTCTCTTTTTATTTTTTATCATCCAAAATGTAAAAAAAATTTCATAAATAATCGCTGCAAATCGTAACAATTATCTATAAAGTTTCAGCTCGATTGGAGAGGTATTTCATTGACGGAATATTCAAAATGATTTCATAACAAAAAAAGGGGGTTATATGAATATAAATCTCAAGCAGCTTTATAAGACACGAAATACGATTGCGTTGGTATAGTGGGATCAATCTATATTTGTAGCGACCAATAATTTAATGTGATCGTACAGCTTCGACGTATCTAAGAGCGACAAAGGTGAAGGTTATAGGTTAAACTATAAGACTTTGTATAAGGCTTCGAGAAACGGCTATTCATCACGAAAGGTTTCTCCTGTTTTATAAAATTGTAAATATATGTAACGGTTTAATACTCCTGGATAGTCACTATAACTTTTTTATTAAAAATGTCAGAAGCAAGAAATTATATACACACGTCAACTTTTATTACATGCCATTTAATTGTAAATAAAGACAATTTGGATAAAACAAAATGATGAATCGTTTTAAGGTAGTTAGACCCTAAAGCACAATTATGTAAGAATGTCTTGAAACTTTCGTTTCAAGTAATTTAGGTATTAATACATATGCCTGTAAAATTTGAGCTCGATTTACCATCCCGTTCCTGAGATATAATCCATCAAACTTCGCCAATTTTTCTATATTTACCATTGCAGTATAGCCATTTTCGTCGTGATATGACACGGATTTTCATATATTATCGAAACCGCATGTAAGAAGTTAATGAAAAACGAGTATCATGTAGTTGAATTTATGAAGAAGCGTGTGTAACAAGACCGCAAATATTCACCATATGATACTAAAGTTTGAATCAATAAAAAATGTTGATTTTATACATTCTCTCGAGAATTGACGAAGTCTAGTAGATATGGCAACGTCGCACTTTCAATGACATGTCAATCAATCATACAGTCGAAAATCCTTATACCTAGCGATGATTTTGATATCGGGGAGACTTTGGTAGCATATAATATAAAATATATAAATTATTTTTAGAATTTTTAAAGAGAGAGTGAAATAATCATGGTAATAAAAAGTAAATTATAAATAGGATAATAGCGCCTGTCACTATATTCGTCTATATTCAGCTTGCGCCTGTCACTATATTCGTCTATTCGTAAAAATGTGATGTTGCCACGATCTAATAGAGCATTTGACGTTATGACGTCATGCAGCAAGATGGCCGAATACTGGAGGACAAGTGTATACAGAAACCTTATGGGAAGATAGCTTATTTTTAAAATAACTCCGTAAGGAAGGGTTTTTCGAAAAAGTGCCAAGTTATAAAATAGTTTTATTTTTTTGAAAGCTGTTAAATAAAATAATAATTTCGACATAAAAAAAATGATTGAAAATTTTTATGTCATTAAATAGCTTTCAAAAAAATAAAACTATTTTATAACTTGGCAATTTTTCGAAAAACCCCTTCCTTACAAATTTATTTTGAAAATAAGCTACCGTCCCATAAGATTACTATATATGCTTGTCCTCCAGTATTTGGCCATCTTGCCGCATGACGTCATAACGTGAAATGCTCTATTTCTCTATGTACTACGTGATACGTAGAATTTCCTTCTTTTCTTAAATTAACTTATTTTATCATGATTTAATATTGTAAGTGTATAAAATACATTGTTTTTTTATTCTTAGATTTTACATAACAATATATATTGATTTAAATTTAGAGTTATGTTTGAATCTGTCTTTGTCTCGCATAGTTTGGGGTCTAACTACCTTAAAACAATTTGTAAAAATAGATGAAAGCTAATCTTATTTTCCTTAATGGTCAATAAATAATCGTAAAAAGTGTCAAAAGGCATTTTTTACCACTTGAAGTACTTTTATTTAATGCGCATGCGTAACTTATTTTCACTTACACATGCTTTTTATCACTTTTTACATTAATTACTGACTGTCAGGAGTCCAACTTAATCATTTTACAAATGTTGAAGCGATCTTATCATTTTGTTTTATCCAAATTATTTTTATTTACATATTGCACATAACAAAAGTTGCCGTGTCATTTCTCGTTCTTGATGTTACGATTCAATATGGCTATGTTAACTACTCAGCAGCCTTAATAACTTTTTCAATCAATTTTAAATTCGTCCTTGTCTTCTTCTCTCTGTACTTGACTATTATCAAATTCAATTTGATTTTCTGAGTCACTATTTCATATTCTATCTCAAACATCTCGAATTTATTATTTTCTCCAATCTTGTTGATCCATTTCTGTCTTTGAAATGCTTCAGTTATTATAATACGTTTCCGCTAAAATGGAGCTGTCTAAATCTTGCGTGGTTTTTTGTTTCTACTAACTATCTATTTTTTCTTTAAAGTCCTCATCTTTATATGTCATATTTTACATAGAAAATTTCTTGCAAACATTTTTGCTCTGTCTTTCAGGAGTCTGATCTTAGATTCTGCAACTACATTATTTGGTGTGCTTTTTTATACACACAGCGGTTCTTAATTCTAGATTAGGTATTGGACTCTTTCATATTTGATAACCAATTATTCCTCTTATTACATAGGTAGTATATAACACTCATAATCTGTTCAAAATTTGATTAAATATATGTATAGTATAGTAATAATGTCGTGTTTATTTCCATACCTTTCGATTTCTTATTCAGATATACTGGTAGTGAGTTATTATAGCTTTATTTACTTTATCTCTGCATTCCTGTATTTGTTCTTTAAAATTTAGTCCGTTATCAAATTATATTTCCAGGAACTTTGTTTCTTTACTGTTGCTTGTTCTCCTGCTATCTCTATCGTCACATATTCTCTGTTTATTAAATTCAATTAAAAATACCCAGATAACCAAACTTGCAGAGATAGATTTTGAGCAGAGCATATGCGCTATCAATTTTTTATTACAGAAAGACAACAAATTGCATACAGAATTTGTACTATCTGACTTATATGTCTGGCAGCAAATTGCTGACATTGTCAGATAATATGACAGTATGACAAACGTCAGAAATATGAAAAAAATTTTTGACATGCTTTCCCAGCAGAATGGCGTCAAGAATCGAGCAGATTTGCAATTCCTGTTCAGTTTTTATCGCCAATCTGCCATTAGTTTTCCTGCGCGCGCAGATCTCTGTTGACAAACCTATAGCCAAATATGATTACAGATGGTTATGATTTTGTAGTCAAACTCAGATTGCTATCAATTTGTCCGCAAATTGCTAATATCTTTTGTGACGCTAGCCTCAATCTTACTTTTCTTAATTTTTCATGCACTTATATTATTAATAGCTTTTTTCAATCTTTTTTTATTATTTTCTCTATTACTTTCCGTATAATACACTGCAATTTTATTCGCAAATTAAACCATTTCTACAGCTATTTCTTGTCTCGTTGTAACTTCACTCGTGTACAATGCATACAGTACCAGACATGGTATGTACCGCTCCTTGTAACAATCTCTTCCCGATTTTTTTCTTTCCTTTTCTTTATTATTTATAGTTAACTACGAATCTATTGTGTACATCTATTTATGTAAAAAATTTGTTATGTTGATTCGGCATTGCATTCTCTCTTTAAATTTTCATATTAGAATATCATATAGCATTTTGTTATATGTTGATGTTACGTCCAGGAATGCCACTAATATATATTCATTCTGATACATTCCTATCTTTATATCGTTTGTTTTGTAAATTTTTTAGCGCATAATCTTCCTCATCTAAAGCCATTCTGGTATTTCGCTAATTTTTCTTCATATTTAGCCTATTATATCAATCTTTCGTTTATAGCATCCTTTCCATAAATTTGCCTACGCAAATGATGACAGTGTAACAGGTTTTATTTTTTTCCTTGGTTTATCTATAAAAATGACTTATGTTCACTCTCTAAGTAATCATATACTCATATACTTCCAGATTTCATTGAAGTCCAATACATTTCTTCATAATCTCTCGCGCTACTTTAAAGCATTCTTCTATACTCGATGCCATCCACACATAATCTCGGGGCTATATTTTTTCTCCTCTATTTCTGTTAAATTATTTATTCATTGTTCTTTTTATTAAACTTTTATTTTTCATCCTTTTCTGTTGCTTCTAGAGCTGCTATTTTGTCAATTTTTTCTGATTTCTCTTTTTCTCTATTATTTGTGACCCATATGTGACCATGGCCAACATTTGTACAGAGTGTCTCACTTAACTCAAGCATCTAAAATATCTCACTTGGTTTTTAATATAAAAAAAGTGTTTTAGATAAAAGTAGAACAATTTCAAGGGAGACGTATTTTGGTTATGTTTTCTTCTAAGTGGAGGCGCTAAAAAGATATGAAGGTCACCTTCATTTTTTTAAAAATAGAATTGTATAATTTTGTTTACATAATATGATTCATCTACTTATTCTGCATAAAAGTATTAAGCTAGAAATATCGAAAATCAATAATTTATGAAACATATATTTTATATTATATTCTGGCATATATAGATTATTAAATATTATAATAATAAAATTACAATATTTGTAGGACCGTTGGAATTTCAAACAATAATTGAATAAAGGCCGAATGACGATCAAGCAAGATTTAGGTTGCTACAGTAATGTGTGAATTTTATTTACCACGTATGTAGTCTTCTTTAATCGCGCGCCGAAATATTTTCAGTCTTTTACAAACGCAACTCTAAATAACTACCGCAGTAATATCACTAGTTAAATTGACACGCAATCTAACAATATTTGATGCTTATAGCATCTTATTGAATCTTAATAATATGTTGAAAGACATATATTAAATTTTAATGATTTGTTATTAATTAATGTAAATTAAATTAATAACAAATCAAAGAAGACTACATACGTGGTAAATAAAATTCACACATTACTGTAGCAACCCAAATCTTGCTTGATTGTCATTCGGCCTTTATTCAATTATTGTTTGAAATTCCAACGGTCCTACAAATATTGTAATTTTAGAATCAACGTGCCTGCAAAATACGTTATTAATTACTTAAAAACGGGAGCATTGTAAAGAATATCACTACGTCGACCAGCCTACAGAGGTCTATAGTTACGCTTGCTTCTCTCGCAAGTGCTAAGATACATAAGTATCTGTTTATATAGAACTTCTTTCTAATATCTCCCCCAGGCGTCTAAGGTAGGTTTCCATTACAATTACCTTACTGATGAGTCTAGTAGTGGAAACCGGGACGAAACGCCAACTTGTGATATTCTTCGCAATCTTATTTTTCACAGAATTTGATTTGTTATTAATTTAATTTACATTAATTAATAACAAATCATTAAAATTTAATATATGTTTTTCAACATATTATTAAGATCCAATAAGATGCTATAAGCATCAAATATTGTTAGATTGCGTGTCAATTTAACTAGTGATATTACTACGGTAGTTATTTAGAGTTGCGTTTGTAAAAGACTGAAAATATTTCGGCGCGCAATTAAAAAAGACTACATACGTGGTAAATAAAATTCACACATTACTGTAGCAACCTAAATCTTGCTTGATCGTCATTCGGCCTTTATTCAATTATTGTGTGATTATAATAATATTTATAAACTATTAATATTTTGACAATCGTACCCCTTAATACTTATATGAACAGAATAATGAGATAAATCAACTAAAAGTACAAAAAAACACATATCTGCTTTAAAAAAAGATGTATGTAAAATTAATTATTTTTTAAATAATTAACTACGTATTTTCTTTATATGAATTGATTCATTTTATTAGATATGTTCATAAAGGCCATTCTACATAAGACGCAGAACGCAGATTGCAGGTCGCGAGTGAAACGTATTTCAGATTGTGATAAGTTGCAGACCGAAATATGAAGGACGCAGGACGCAAAAGTTGAAATTTAACCAACTTCCTGCGTTCTGCGTCCTACAACCTATTATAACTAAAATATGTTAGGTTAGTTTCTAGTCTTGCGACCTGCAACCTGTGATCTGCGTCTCATGTAGAATGGCCTCAAAAGTATTAATTAAGATACAATTATCAAATAATTAATAGTTTCCGAATTATTTAACATTTTATGTTAAATATTTTATGAATTTTCTAATATTATCACTTTTGGTTCTACAAATAGCGTTAGTAGCATTTGCATTCATAGCGCTAATAGTTTCTCCCTGAATGCACTCCTATATACAGATAAAAATATAATATTATATTTATTGAAATAATTTCTGATTCATATGATAAACTGGTGCGTTAAATGTATTACTCTTAATGTAATCTAGAAGAATTTTTCATAATTTTTTTATTTAAATATCTATTATAATATATCTTTAACATTAAATAAATATGTCAGGAAGTAACAAACATGTTATGTTACAAATCAATATATAGAATGTACAGAAAGTCCCGTATCTCTTGAATATCTTGGAAAGTAAGCATTTCTGAGAAAAATGTTTCATATAAAAATTGTGGAGTTGAAAATAGTTTATTTATTGATCTTATCAATTTGACCTTGGATGGCGCTACCTAGAGTCCTAGATATCACAGAAGCGCAGCCGGCTTAAGTCAGTATCGCAAAATTACTAAAAACAGTATTAAAAATGGCGTTGTTTGCAGACGAACTATGAAATCCACCAATCGTCTATTAATCAACCATTTTTAATACCAATGAATGAATGTCATGATTGGCTGACAGTCATCAGCCAATCAGGACGCGGAACATCGGTTGCGCTTCTCTGATATCTAGGACTCTAGCGCTACCAAGGTCAAGTCAAGGTTAAATCGATTTTTTTTAAACAAAAAATCCTATTTTTGATTTTAGAATCTAATAGCTTGTGTGTGTTTTGTGTGTGATATCAGAAGCTTTTCAAAATACTTTCATAAAGCTTCTTTTTAATCAGTACTTTTCAAGTTATGAGACTTGAATGTTACAGAACCGACATTAGCATTATCTATAAGATGCTCTATTCTTTTTAATCATTATATAAAAATTTGTGTGTGCGTGTGCGCTCGCGCGCGCGCGCGCGTGTGTGTGTGTGTGTAATATTAATGTAGTAATATATGTAATAAATAATAATATATCAATGACACGTAAATTGTCTGTTTGTAAGTTGTACTTATATTACGATTAATCATCTTTATCCTAATATTTTATTGTGACACATTTACCTGAAAACGAGAACATATAGTTTCTAGTTGTTGCTTCGTAACTTTCATCTGTCTTCGCGTCATGTCCATCGGTTGTTTAGCGTTGAATGGATAAGCAATACATCTAGATATGAAGACATAAAGCTGAATCCGAGTTTTCCTTTGTTCTTCTTCTCTTTCTTGCTTATCCTGAGAAAAACAAGAAAACTTGTATCATCGGAACGAAATAGAATGTATCGTTAGCAAAATTATCATTCGATTTATTTTTGCTAATAAAATTGTATAAAGTAAATGTTTCTCACAATTGATTTAATCGTTTTGTAATAAAAATTTTACTATTTTTAATATTAGATTTAATTAGATTTTCTACGGAGAGAAGTTCCTTGACACATATATTTATATACATATTTTCTTCTTTTTTATATTATTTATTTTATATACAAGTTTTACACTATATGCTTTTCAAATATCTAAATTCTCATTTTTACAATAAACAGGTTGTATCGCATGCCATACAAGAATGTTGCAGAAGTATCTAGTCGTATGGTTGTTGCAGTAGCAAAAGCTTTTGTCGTAGAGAGTTGAGCCAACTTTAATTTTCTGCAATTACGATAAGCATGTCCAATGAGAACCATCTGAGACAGTATCTCGTTGCACAGTGCGAAAAAAAAGTAATCTAAAAGGAAATAAATTGATTTCGAAACATTAATATTAATTAGCACATAATATTAATTCTATATAATCATTAGGTATATTGATATATTCTTTTAACATCAATACACTATGTAAATTGTAGAGGCACTGTTGTAGCGGTGCTTGACATTTGAATACAATTCAAATATCAAACAATTGTTAAAAAATCTCTGACGCATCTGAGAATAACTTTGTAATTCGGTGAACATGGATTTATTACATTTGATATTAATTGCTGCCGACGATACGAATGATGTGAGAAGTATATAATGTGTCTATTTAGGTTATGTTGCTTATACGTTTCACAACCGAAATGTTGAGCTCAAGTAGCGGTCTTAAAAGGCTTGTTCTTTTTGCCTGTACTGTCTGAATTGGTGCAGACAGTGCAATAAGTTGAAGTGAAATAAACGTATATCTGTTTCACTTCAACTTATTGCACTCTCTGCACCAGTTCAATAAAAAGAACAGGCCTAAAATATGATGGAAAAAATGGCGAAAGAAAAACCAAAAAATTGAATCTTCAAAATGGAAAAGCCATCTGAAACGTATGTTATATAGCTTTTAAAATAATAAATAAAAGATTTTTTATTTATTTGTAATTATAATACATGCGTATATACAATCTATATAAATTTTGTTTTTCAACTTTAACGAAAGATAAAAATAATCTCCACGTTATCCCATACTACCATATTTTACAAATACAATCTTTAATGATCCAATGATTCTTATTTCTACAGCTTAACTGTGCATTAACTTGCGGATATTAAAGTTAGATTATATTTTCAAAGGCTAAAATCTCGATTTCGCATCGATTCCTTTTTAAAACATAAGTAAACAGCAGTTATAATTCGCAATAAAATTTTGTTTAATTTTATCGTATCACATTTTGATGTAAAAAAAACTTTCACCAAAACATCAAAAAAAGTTATAACGCTTTAATATCGCGCTTTATATCAAAATTGAGTGATCGTTGACAAAATATGGTCAAACAAAAGATATATTACATATAAAAGAATACTTATTTGAGTACAAAGACTTTTTGTTATCACAAAAAATGATTATAGTAATTAAAAATATTAAAAATAAAAAAAGTATAAACAACATAAAATTAATAAGCATACAGCCACAAGCGCAGGAAGTTGATTGCCAAGTTATATATTTCAAATTAATTATATAAGAGTAAACATTTTGGTCACAATCTGACCATCTTCAGTACAATTTTAAAATTTTTATATAATTAGTCAATGATAATAAACAAACTAATTTTTCGATGTTTCTTCGTTCTTATTTGCATCTATGAATTTAGCTGTTGTCACATTTAAATTTATAGTTCTGTATCTAACATCGGATTTTCAGATTCTGAACAATGATGAATTCAATTATGATTTATACAAATTATTTGATTTCCATCATAAAAACATACCGGTATTTTTTCATAAAAACGATTGTTTTAATTTTTGTACGTCAGTAATATAACAGTGGGCTCTTTAAATCAACGGAGGAATCTTTGGTTACATTCAGCAAGCGCAACAGTTGCACAACGGTTCATTTGTCTACATTGATCCAGTCAATTGATCATGTTTTAATTGATGTTGGCAAACAATCGACAGTTCACCAGATCGCTTATTTATGTCCGCTTTATGTTCTCTTAGACGAGTGTTTAATTTTCGTTTTATTTGGCCCATGTATTAAACCTTGCAATTGGAACAATACAATTTATAAACTACGTTTGACCGTTCTTCTTTTTTGATTTTGTCATTTCCTATTTTTATGAAGCAATTTAATGAATTTATCGGTCTACAGGTATTTCCAACTTGAAATTAAATTTTCTTGTAATACCATTAAATTTTTCAGAAAAATTCTGAATGTATGGAACGGTGAAAAATTTTTTATTATCTATCAAATCATTATTAATTACATCATTATGAATTTTTATGTTATCAAAATTCGTTTTGAAATATAAAGATTTTACTCTATTATTAATAGTGGAAAAAATAAATTCCAACGATCCAATATCCATTCTTTAAAAAAGTATTGATTAAGGACTTAATATTATTTTCGTGGAATTTTGAAGGTGCAAGGAACAATATTCTGTATAATTGTCCAACAATCATGCCTTTTTTTTAGATATTATTAGATGATTTGAATAGAAATTAATATATCTTCCTGAATTAGATTTTTTATAATTATCAAAAATGATTATAATGTTCTCCGTTAACAATTTGTTGATTATCGCTGTATTCAACTCTGAAATTTAATCTTTCGTTATACGAATTAAATGTGTCTAAAATTGTGTCAATTTGATCTTTGTTCGCTGCTAAAATAATATCGTCTACGGTAACGGTAATAAAATGGAATTTGAGTTGATAATGTTTTAAAAACGTCTTTTTCTAAATCTTGCAAATCACAATTTTTGCTAAAATGGGAAACAATGGAAATCCCATAGGCAAACCGAAGAATTGTTTATAAGTTAGATTATTAAATTTGAAAATTGTCGAATTTATAACAATTGAGACTGCTTTCTAAATTCATTAAATGAAATTATTGTGTTTTTTCTAATAGATTTCCACCTTCTTTCTATACTTTTCAAGGCGAGGTTAATTGGGGATATTATACATTGACGTCGAATGACAAAAAAAAGTATACATACTATAAGAGAATGTTCTTGCAAGTCTTAAAAAAAAAGGAAGCCTTAAATTTAAAAGAAATTAAACATTTGTTAAAAATGCAACATTCTGAAGAAATATGTATGGTAACTGAAATAAATTTTCGAGCTACGAATAAAACTGATATATAATAATAATATATAATTTGAATTCAATCAGTGTGGGGGCCGATTTCATATGCTTATTCCGCTATATCCTTTAATTATGGCAATAATCAATAGAAAAATTTATATCTCAAAAATGTTATATTTGTAGAATTATGTCAAAATAACAAAAAGCTTAACCCTTTCAGGCACGGTGGGACTCTGAGATCCCACCTTTTTGGTTTCCATTTTCTACGCTTTTTAGACATCAAGACATACATTTACGTGCAATTTTGTATATATATTCCTTCAACTATTATATTAACAAGCATGTTATAATTCGTAATTTTAAAAAATCCATTATTATATTTTTTATATATAAAGTTTAATATCTAAAAAGTATGTTTTTGGTACAATTAATGCATGTATTATAGAAGAACTGTACATACACAGTTGAGCACGTGTATACAAGGGAAAGAACTCTACATACACAGTTGAGCACGTGTATACAAGGGTTTTCGAGGTTGCTGATTACGAATCTGCCCTCAGATTTTCAAAATTCAAAATGGCGGGTCCAAAATGGCGAATCCAAAATGGCGGACCAGAATGCGAAAAGTTATTCGATCACAACAAATTTGGTCTTTGGGGTTTTTCGAGGACAGATTCGTAATCAGCTACCTCGAAAACCCCCAAAGACCCAATTCCGTTGTGATTTAATAACTTTTTCGTCTTTTGGTCCGCCATTTTGGGTCCGCCATTTTGAATTTTGAAAATCTGTGAACAGATTCGTAATCAGCGACCCCGAAAACCCCCGAGTACTAAAATACAGGTCAATTCCATGTACAGAAAAATGCATGCCTAAAAGGGTTGATCAGCACAGCATTTATGTAATTCAGATTTGGTATTTCCAGTTTACATGCATGAATTTGTACGTTTAAATATTTATTATATATATTATATACATATTTAAAAATGGCAAATTAAACATCATTTCAAGAGAGAAAATTAAAAATACAAAATAATTTAAACAAGAAATGGATTTAATTGTATCAATTTGATAAGAAAATTAGCTGTAAAAGCCATCACAAGATTAACGTATATTTTATATTACACAATAACCAGTATCGTATAAACTCTCAATTGGAGTCCTCATCACAGTGTATAATAATAAAATTCAAAATAAAGTTTAATAACCAAATCGTAAATATTTTGATTGATCAGTCTGGTTTTTTTTATTATATAATATAAAATATACACTCACACGTTAATCTTGTGGTGGCTCTTACTAGTCTAACTTTTTTATGAAATTAATTTAATTCGTTAGTCTAATGAAATTATTAATTTGAGGTTTAATTATGTAAAACCCAAAAGCAAGTGACAAAAAATACCAATGATGATAATATAGCCTATAGATTTTTTAGAAATCTTGTAAAGAGCGCTAAAATTACTGGTTAAAATGAGAATTATTTAATTCAACAATTTAAAATAATTTTGCAAATTATTTCTTGTGATTATGAAATTAATGTTAATTTATTTGAAAATTATGTGAAAAATATGCGATAATTATATATAAACTTGTATCCATGATATTATATGTCTGCAAGTAAATATAAAATTTTAATTCATGGTCCGGAAATTATTAATTCATGCCGATAGGACAAGTGTTCAAAAAAGCTTTGAAAGTTCGAAATAAAGATTTCACACGTTACAGACAAAATAATTATTGAAAAATATTTAGATGGTATAAACAAAGATTTGTTGTCAATGCTATTGATATCATCAGATCCCCACTCATTTCGGATTTAAGAACATCTACACAACATAAACACATCATACAAATTCTAGTAATGTATTAACATTGGTAACAAATCTAATAGAATCATGATTGAAACAAAAATTATTGCAGTGAAAATTTGTTGATTAATATAAGATGTTAATTTTATTAATTTAATTTTTTAATATTTTAATAAAATTAATTAATATATAAATTTTAAACTGTGTAAATTAAAATATATTTATATTATAGCATAAAAAATAATTTCGACAACTATTTCATTTACAAAATCAATTATATAATTATTAAAAATTAATTAAAAATTCTTCGATTAAAATAAGAATTATTTTTCTTCAGATCGCTCATTTGTCACACTATGCATCGGTAGCTTAGCCAATTACAGCAAGCAAGCTTTGATGACATAAGTCTACTAACGATCACTGACAATTTGCTAGTTGTATCACTAGTTGGCTCATGTATTTTTTTTTGCGACTATTACAAATATTCACCTAGCGACACTTTTACAACATGTGACAAATTTTCATACGTCATTACTATTCACGATATGCGACATAGCCTGTGTGTTGTAGATAAGATATTCAAAAAATGTGGCAAGCAAAAAAATTTCGGAAAGAGATAAACATTCATTGTCCTTGCATACTTGCAATTCCGCTTCTGTCTTCTCGCTGGCCACCGAAGGAGACGGACTAGTGGGTCGTTGAGCATAATTCGAGGCATCCTGAGTCGCGCTCATCGATGGTGACAGAGAGTTTCTGGCGCTGGTGAGATTGGGCACGTCCAAACCGACCCCAGCAGTTTCCTGTGGTCCCGCAGTAACACGACTCCCGGATCCATGAGTACTTGCGGTGCTCGGAGCGCTTACGTGATTTGGACCACCGGGTGAGGCGGTGAGGCTAGATGCGAGCGAACCGACGCTACCGGAACCTGGACCGTTACCAATACTTCCGGGATGACGACGGGATCCGTGAGAGCTACCACTCCCAGCACGGCCGCCGGCACTACCACCGCCGCCGCTGCCATGGTGTGTGCTCTGATCCTCCTCACTCTCCTCCTCGGATGAACTTGGGTCTATCATCGTTTAAAAAGAGATGCCCTAAGGGGTACACACGCGGTTCTCGACCTCCCCCTTATAAGAGGTCCAGCCGCTTCACGTGGTCACGGAGCCGTTGTGTTTTACTTCTGTGGCGTTGGTTACGTGCTCTTCTATAACACTGTACTGAAATATATTATTTTTATTATTTTTTTATTGTGTGCATCTATAATTGAAAGAGAGAGAGAGAGAGAGAGAGAGAGAGAGAGAGAGATCAGAATCATTTATTAAATACATGGCCGGTATTCATAGTCAGTTCTTATATTCAAGACCGTCTTAAGTTCAGTCTTGAGGAGTTACGAACCAATCAGAGGTCCGCTTTAGCATCTTAAGACATTACTTAAGACAGTCTTGAAATAAGAACTGACTATGAATACCGGCCTAAATGTGTCAAAATTGATGTTTTTTGACATATTTGTGATTTTTTGCTAATAAAGTAAATTTTTTTTCTACTTTCGTTTACGTATGTATCTTAAAGTGCCAATTTTTATCTTTAAAAAATATTTTTTTTAACACCGTACGTTTCTTTTTTACTGAGATAAACTCTGCATAGTCACAAAAAAAAAAACATTTTGTGCCAAAGATCACAAATATGTCAAAAAATGTCAATTTTGACATATTTAACTTCACTTTTCTCAAAAATCTGATGTGATAGAGCAATTTTATTGCCGGATTCGTATTCAGCGCGCGAAAATACATCGGAAATGGTATCTTTTATTTAAACAGCAGAAATCACGTCGGCCAGTGTTACTAGAATACAAAACGAAAAGAACAATACAGTTATTACAATTAAAATATAGTAATAAAAAACAAAATTTGAAGAAAGAAAAAAAGACAGAGAAAAAGACGGAGAAAATTACTTATGATGTTTTTTTTTTAAATATATATAACGCATAAATAGATAATAATCGATAATCAAAACAAATTTGCAACACGAAGTATTGTAATAAGATATAATTAATGGAACTAATAAGTTCTTTAAAGTTAACTCACATTAAATTATATGACTGAGGATTAATGCATTTTATAGCAGGAAGTAAAATCGTAATACCTTTTCTCTCATGCAAAGCCGGATTATTTTGTTAAGCGTATAGCGAGTTCAATTATCTTGATTAAGTTAGGAATTTCATATTAAGTGCAAGGTAAATTATAGTTATTACTCGTATGTACCAACCATTGCGATTGCTTCATCTATTTTGTCTAACATAAGCACGGCAATTGCATGTTAAATTTACTTTCAGGTTCCTACGCGTAATTTCTATCTGATCTTTCACATAAAAGCGCGTATAGACGTGAAATGTGACTTGTATAATTACGAGTCGTCATACGCAAAGGCGAAGAAAGCCATTTATTCTAATCCTGTTATGCGCAAAACAGAAATTTGCAATCTGCTAATGTCGAGTACGCTTTGCATTATCACGAAAATTCTGAAAGGACTTGTCAAGCGGTTTTTGAGATACACATCCTTAATTCCATTTCTCTATTAAGTTCCTGGACCAAAGATCTGCAGATAAACCTTTAACGAGCATCGTCATATCAAAATATATTTAGAACTTATGTAAAGACAGTGTAACGAAGAGATCAGTCACACATCCTAACAGAAACCTTACTTAATTCAAGTAATCCGTCGAAAAAATAACTGAACTTATCAATTTGCAGGATACTTTGGCGCATAGTACCTTAATTATAATTGATCGTTTAAAAAATTTGCTGCTTTTCTTAAAATGTTATTAGATTACTTCGGGCGGATTCAATCGACCCTTTCTTGAAAATTTGTAGCAATGAGCACACTTGTGCATTCTTTCTCTTGGAAGTCTTAATACACAAATTATTATGCTTTAGTAGAATATAAAATATATATTCTAAAATGAAACTTGAAATAAAAAAAAAAACAAATATACAAACAAATATATATATATATATACTACAAATATTATAGATACGTACATATGTTTGATCTTTTTTGTAAAAGCAAAAAAGAAAGTTCTAGTACAGTCTAATGTATAGGAAAAAGAAGCAGTCCTGAATATCACTCTAGAGCAAAATTAAATATGAAACTGAAATGATCATTCCAAACAATACAGTCTAAAAATTGTGATATAAGACGTCTTTAAATCGTCTTTTAGACGAAAAAAACGTCTTACACGAATAAAAATTAACAACTTTTCATGTTTTTAATTCTTATTCGTATTTTATTAAAAATGCTGCTGTCTATTAAAAACATATTCACTTGAATTGAATATCTGTCATTTACCGAATATCTTTCTCCTTACAAACAAGCTTACAGCAAAGAGAAGTCTCAAACAAATTTATTGGCCTTTTCAATACGTTCTCGTATTTATTGACAATATAATATGCTCCCGCGTAGAACCGTTGTTTATGGGCTACGGGTGGTAAGCTTAATTGCATTTAATCTCTCCATACGCGCAATACAAGTCCACCGATAATTACATCGGCCCTTTGATGTGCGCTTGTTAATAGTGTATACAGTCTTTCGCCTACACTCTCGCATGCGCGTGATATACAAGTCACGCTTGACTTAAACTGTCTTCCGTCTTACGAGAGACTCACTTTCAAACCGGTAGATATCGGAAAAGCGTATTCATGTATGAAAATGCGTAATGTCTTTGAATGCAGTGTTCTTGCAAATATATTGTGGCGATAAAAAACTTCTGATAAAGAAAGTTTGCGGGCTACTGCAAGGATGCACCGAATCGATCGAAAGATATTGGAAATTCTCACAAATTCGAAATATTAATTTTTATGTAACGTATTATCGGAAAAAATTACTTTCGCAATTTCTCAATTTTTTATATTAAATTCCTAGATTGGGGGAATAATGAACTATAAATTATATTCAATAAGAAATAAAAAAATTAAGGATTCAAAAATCTGCAATGTAATAATTAGACCCCGGATTTTCCGCCAACGGACGTACCAATTCGAGTCGATCGTAGCATGTTCCTATCCCCACTACCACTCGTCATGCCCGAAGCCGTTGCGTGAAGCATCGATAGGTGGGACGCGGCCGCGGCGGTGCGCGGTGGGACAATTAACAAGACAATAAAAGCATCTTCTCCAAGGTCTTGCAAAAACAAATTTCTTTCAAACAGGACTTAAAATTTTTCAAGTACGCGTCTATTACTTCTTGCGACGTAGAACGCAGCTTTTCTCAGTATAAAAATATATTGAGCGAAAAACGAAGAGGCTTCAATTACAACAATTTAAAAATGTACTTCATTGTGTGTTACTTTTATAGATAAAGAAAGTTAGGATTACAAAATGTCGAATAAAGTTATTTTGAAAGTATTCGAAATAATGGGGAAAATCTGAAAATAACAGTTTAATGTATCTGCTATATTTTAGTATTTTTCTCGCTTGTATTCCATTCCTTGTTTCGAGTAACACCGTTGCCACACCACCGTCGCTCCCTACCATTGATACTACACCGAGCGTCGCAACCTTTAGCGACGTGAAAGTGGGGAGAGCTAGCTACGATCAACGCGATTTTAGAACTTTAATCCGGGCTCTAGTAATAATAAATAATATTGAAAAAAAATTTCAGTCAGATAAAAATACATAGGTACCCAGTATGGCTAAAAAGTTTTCAGGACTGAGCTCATAAATAAAACAAATAACATCGTAAATAAATTTTTCTATTATTATTACACAAAAAATGTTACGATTAACACAATCAGAAATAATAATTTTCGCCCATCAATATATTTGGTTGTGATAACCGTAAGATGGACATATCTTAACAACTATAATCGTTCAGATATGGTATCTTCGGATTATCACAATTGTACTCTAGTTCTTATAACCAAAAAATGTATTGATGGGCGACTTTTGGTCGTGGAAATCGTAGCCGTTTTGTTTTGTGTATCAATTATTCTCTATACTACATACAATCTTTATCATCATTTGGCGTACTTTACCAGCCGCTCCAAAACATGTTGGAAATTCATTGCTGGAATGCTCTCTCTTTAAATTGTCTTGAATCATCTTGATATTGTCGAATCGCTATCTTCCAACTTCAGTTTCAGCTTTAGAAACAAAAAGTAATTCGTTGGTGCTAAATCCAGTGAGCACAGAAGATGGTTATAGCACGATAACATTTTCTGTGCAAATTACTGCATTGTAAGATGGCACGTTATCGTGCAGCAAGAGCCAATTTTTGTTTGCATACAAATCCGAATGCACACACGTGATGCGCTTCAACATCCAATATCAAATTAATTGGATGTATAGCTTTACAATGATTGTATGTAGAATAATCGGTATGGTAATAAAAATTTATTTACGATGTTTTCCGTTTTATTTATATGAGCTAAATTCTAAAACATTTTGGCCACAATGTGTATAAATAAATTAGATTAAAGTCAGTATATAGGTATATAACAAATATTTCGGTCATTTTCAGTGTATAAGGTTGTCTAAATTATAATGTAAAAATTAATTCAATAGAAAATACAAAGAGAAATGTAAAGCCTCAAAGCAAAGCATTGTCACTTTATGGTTGCATAGCCAAAAAGCGATCAAGTCTCTAATCAAGTCCAGATCATGACTAGACAGGTACACAAGTACAATCACAGTCATAAAAAAAATTAATAATAATCAAAAAGAAATTAAAAAAATTAAATAAGAAAAGACAGAGGCCAAACAAAACGAAGTAAACATTACGATTACAATAATTGATTACAAAATGATCGTCAATTTTTAATTCTTCTCTCTCTCTTTTTAAACACTATTAATTTTTTCTTATAGTTACGACTCCATTGTACTTGTGTGCCTGAAGATGACCCAAAAATGTGACGAAATCTTTATAATGTATTGATTTTGATTTTCTTCATATTTTTATTTGTGCATCGCCTTCTGCATTTGACCTAAATTTGTTTTTTCTAATATTATTTATTAAAATTAATTAAATTTATTAAAATAAATAATATAAAAGCAAATATATATAGTATTCACTAAATCAATGT